AGTCACCACTGGCAGCACATTTCACTGACACAGAATGGGTCACAAAACTTGCTTACTTGTGTGACATATTCAACCTGCTCAACGAACTCGATCTGTCACTTCAGGGGAGAACAACTGTGTTCAAGTCGACAGATAAAGTGGCTGCATTCAGAGCCAAACTGGAATTATGGGGTCGACAAGTGAACACTGGGATTTCTGACATGTTTCAAACATTAGCAGAGATTTTGAAAGAGACTGAGCGAGGGCCTTCTTTCTCCCAGCTGGTGCATGATCACCTATCTCAGCTTTCAAAAGAGTTTGAGCATTACTGCCCAACCACAAAAGACCCCCGAACTGGCAAGGAATGGATCCGCGACCCATTTGTGAATAAGCCAGGTGAACTAACTTTGTCTGTGCTAGAAGAGGATCAACTGCTTGAGATCGTAAATGACAGTGGCCTTAAAAGTGTGTTTAAGACAACTTCAAATCTCCATACATTCTGGATGAAAATCAAGGTGGAATATCCTGAGATTGACACAAAAGCACTGAAAAGCCTGCTTCCATTTCCAACATCCTGTCTTTGTGAAGCAGGGTTTTCTGCAGTGACAGCAACCAAAACGAGACCACAGAGACATAAGCAACACACTTCGGGTGTCACTGTCTCCCGTCACCCCCAGATGGGATCATGTAGTTGCAGGAAAACAAGCTCAGGGCTCCCACTGTTTCTGCATTATGGTGACTTGTATAATTATTTCATTATATTTTACAATGTAATAACAATAGAAATAAAGTACACAATAAACGTAATGTGCTTCAGTGGTTAAGAATCCGCCTGCCAATGCAGGGGACATGGGTTCGAGCCCTGGTCCAGGAAGATCCCACATGCCAAGGAGCAACTAAGCCTGTGCACCACAACTACTGAGCCTGCGCCCTAGAGCCCACAAGCCACAACTACTGAGCCCACGTGCCTAGAGCCTGTACTCCGCAACAAGAGAAGCCACCACAATGAGAAGCCCGCGCACCGCAACAAAGAGTAGCCCCGGCTCGCCAGAACTAGAGAGAGCCCACGCGCAGCAACGAAGACCCAACATAGTCTAAATAAATAAATAAATTTTTTTTAAAAAATGTAATGCTCCTGAATCATCCTGAAACCATTCCCCATTGTCCCCCCACCCCATCCATGGAAAAATTGTCTTCCATGAAACCGGTCCCTGGTGCCAGAAAGGTTGGGGACCACTGCTCTATAAGACTGCAAACTCATTATACTTTTAAAGATTTTCATAATCCAACCCCAAAATGCTACTTTTCACTACTCTTCTCTAAGACCCTTCTACTCCTAACAGACAACTGTGAGCTGGAGTTTAGACAGGTGACTGAGTTAAGGAAGATATTCTATCTGAAAAAAAGAAGTTGTGACAGTCACACTGGGGAAGTTGGAGAATACACAAACTTCCAGGAGTTTCTCTCAGAAGATCTCTAATTCTAATTCAGGAAGGAGAAAATATCCTAGGAATAAGATCTACTGGGCAGTGAGGGGAAGGGGTTTTGACTCATAGATTCTCAAAAGCAACAAGATCTGGGCTCTAGCCCTATCAGTGAACACTTGAAGACTCCAGGACACAGAACATTATAAAGTGCTGCGCCATGAGGGCAGAGTGATCCAGACCAAAACATCCTGATGGCACAGTTCACCTCTTGTCTGAGATGAACCTATTCATTCCATCTTATATGTATAATGTGGCAACAGAACTCTGGAGCATCCTGAGTCATTAAGTTGATTACCTGCTGAAAAAGGCTGGGCCAAATATCACTGTCAAAAAATAAGGACACTGATTATAAGACCATTTGTTGGTAGTTTGGAAAGCAGAAAGTCCTGCCAAAAGACACACTGCCTATGCCTAAGGATAAGCTGAGGTCCACTTAGTTTTCTTCTTCTTTTTCTAGTGAAGAAATTGGTTTTAATTATATGAGAAGTAGATGTTCATTGCTGAATTTTCTTAAAAGATAAGCAAAAATAAGGAAATAAAAATTGCCAAAATTTTCTCCTGAGAAAACCACTTTTGGAATTTTGGTATATACTATTTCAGACTTCTTATAGATGTGGAATATGTGCACAACGACATGTGTACAAGGATGGGCACGAGTGTATGCAATTAAGAAAAATTGAACTGTACTTCCCTGGTGGCGCAGTGGTTAAGAGTCCACCTGTCAATGCAGGGGACACGGGTTCGATCCCTGGTCCAGTAAGGTCCCACATGCTGCGGAGCAACTAAGCCTGTGTGCCACAACTACTGAAGCCCAAGCACCTAGAGCCTGTGCTCCGCAACAAGAGAAGCCACTGCAACAAGAAGCCCATGCACTGCAACGAAGAGTAGCCCCCGCTCGCCACAACTAGAGAAAGCCCGCGTGCAGCAACGAAGACCCAACATAGGAAGGAAGGGAGCTGGGGGAGGTGGGTGGAGGAAGAAAGGAAGGAAGGAAGGCAGAGAGGGAGGGAAGGAGGGAGGAAGGAAGATTGAACCAATCTAAATGTTCATCACCAGGACACTAGTTATATTAAAAATCTGTATGGATATTCACACACACTTTTACTTACTTATGTTGCTTCATAAGTGACTTATCCATTCAACAAGTTCCATTCAATAAGTTGTATGAAATAACAGCACAATAACATTTTTTCCCTGACTGGCAAAAGTTAAAAATCATGTATATAATAAGTACTGGTGAGGATCCAGGGAAAGGGTATTTTAGTGCTTCATACATTATGAAACAACAAAAACCAAAAAAGCTTGTTTCAGGTGGGAATGTGGGCAGCTGTTTCCTCTGTACCATGTACATTAGATTTGAATTCTTTTTCTTTTTTTTGGCCACACCGCACAGCATGCAGGATCTTAGCACATCAGCTAGGGATTGAACCCATGCCCCCTGAGTGGAAGCGTGGAGTCTTAACCACTGGACTGCCAGGGAAGTTCCTAGATTTGAATTTCAATTCCAGTGTTATCATCTTCTATTTCTTTGCTACACTTTCATCCTTGTTGGCCAATTCCCTCTTTCAGTGATCCATCTTTGTAAAATGTCATGTAGATGTATAGCCGGGAGACCAGGAGGCAAGACGACTGCACGCTCTGAATCACTGAATAGCAGATGTGCAGTGACCAGTCACCAGCAGAATTTGAAGAGTGACATGATTGGTCACTGCATGAGCATCTGTTATTTGCACAGTGATCTGTGAACTGAAGAGCTAGCAGGGAATTTGTACTTTATGCAGTTATGCCTGTAACATACTGTGGTAACTGAAATTTGAACCTGCTGAGGGACTGGTGTTACTAACTAAACCATGGTAAGTGAAATGTGTGTATATCAGAACTGTGCAGAGTGAGGACTGCCAGTACCATGCAGCCATTAAAGAAAACAAAGATCTATATAAACAGAGAGGAAGAGATCTCTAAAGCATTGTTAAATACAAAACTAATGTCTCAGAACATTATATAAAATATGTCCCATTAACGTAAGGAATATTTTTATATGTATGTATATAAATTGGGTTTATTCATTCAACAAATACTTATGGAGTACCTACACCATGACTGGCATTGTTCTAGGCACAAGTCACAGCAGTGAAGAAAATATGTAAGGTCTCTGTCCCCTTGGAGCTTAAAAGTCTTGTCAGGGTGACAGATAAAAAGTAAACGAATAAACAGTAAGATAAATGCAAATAGTGGTAAGTGCCTCTATAAAGAAAATAAAATAAGGTGATATGCTTCACTAAAGAGTGACAGAGGGGAAATTCCCCGGCAGTCCAGTGGTTAGGACTGTGCGCTATCACTGCCAAGGACCTGGGTTCAATCCCTGGTTGAGGAATTAAGATCCCACAAGCCACGTGGCTCGGCTGGGGGAAAAAAAAAAAAAAGAAGAGTGACAGAGGGATGCTATTCTAGATGAGAGTGGTCAGAGAAGGCCTCTCTGAGAAAGTGACATTGAAGATGGGAACTAAAATAGGAGTCAGTCATGTTTATACAAAACCACCTTAAATTTTTTATGAAACAATACAGAGAACATGCAATTAAACTCTAACAGCGCATATAGCAGGTCAGGACAGAGTCTATGAAGATACAGAGATATCACAGGAAGAAGAGGTCTTAAAGAGTTTGGCTCCTTTAGAAAACGGTACACAGGAAAGGGATACAGGATGAGCTGAATTAAAGCCCAAGGTACCTACATGTATAGATAAGACCCAACATTTCAAATAAACAATCAGGAAGGAGAGAACAGACTTGGCAATTTCCAAGAAAAAGTCAAAAGCAGTGTCCCAGCATCCATTACAGGCAGAAAGTCTCAGGTCGAAGGCCTTGATTCCAATAACTGGAATTCCTGGAAGAGTGGGCAGTCAACTCAAGCAGCTCAGTGGAGATTCTAAGAGGTATACTCTCTGTCTCTGTTGAAAGTATCTGCTAAGCATGTGTGGCACAGGGTATCTGCTTAGCGTGAGTTCAACATAATTCATGCTTCTCCTTTCATAGAGTTGTTCCCAAGAAGCAGCTGCCTACCAGAGACTACATTACTCAGCTCTCTTGCATCTGAGACTAAATGACTGGCTCACCAATGAAATGTGAATGCAAAGGACAGGTATCACTTCGGAGCCAAGGGAGTTAAGAAGAGGATGTACTTTCTCCATCCTCTCATTCCATCTGCCTGTTGGATGCAGAGAGCTCAGGGGCACTTAGGGAATGGCAGAGCCATATAAGAAGAGACTGGGTCTCTGACTTACCACATAAAAGATGTCACCTGCTGACACCCAAAATACTCACACTGGGTTATTATGTGATTAAGAAATAAACTACTGTAATAAGCCATTGAAATTCTGGGGTTTGCTACAGTAACTTGCATTATGCTAACACAGGTCAACAAGGACTGCAGAGACAGAGAAGCCTAATAACGGTAGAAGCCAAAAAATTAACTTTAGTAGAAAGCTGGCCAAGGAAAAAGAAAGACTGACAAATATGTGCTAATGAATGACATACCTCATATTCTGGTCCAAAGCCAGCATAGCCACAGAACCGCCCAGAGAGTCTCCAGAGATAAGGGATTCCTCCAAAGAGAAGAATAAGCTATAAAACAAAGCACATGTTGGTCACATTGAAGCAGTACTAGAAACTATCATATGAAAGTATGTTAAAAAAAAAGAGAGATCTTATTTAGGATAAAATATGCATTTAGACAGATACAAACCAATTGAGATACTAAGTTTACACTATTAAAAGGTTTTTGCCTGTACACTTTATACAGATGAACTGTATGATTTTTTAATTTACCTCAATAAAGCTGTTTAGAGAAAAAAAAAACTTTTGTCAAAAGACCTTAATAATCAGGAACTAAGCTTAGAAAGGCTAAGCAACGTGTCGAAAATCCCACAGCTAACAAGTGAAAGAAATGGAATTTGAGCCAGCCTTTATGGCTCCATAGCTGGCTTTTCCTTGAAAGGAAATAGCCTCTTGGTTAGGACAAAGTATTAGTATCGGTATAAGTACAGAGTCATGTCCACCTACCATGTTGGGGGACAGAATGAGCTATCAGAGCCTTCTCTGGGTCAGGAAAAAGTGAATCCTGAGGTAGGAGTCAGGGTATCATAGGAGTAAGGCACTTTCTCAGCACCACCCTTTGTCTTGGGCAGATAAAGCAAACACAGATATTCACCAAACCAATAAGACATATGAACGAGGGAGCAGCTCTTAAAATGTGAAAAGAATACATGCTTACAAAACACGACTTCTCACAACAGATACCAAGTTCGTGGAATCATTTTGCCCAGAGGAGTCAACGTACTGTTTCTTCACTTGTGGAGCCCCAGAGTGTGATCATACTCCTTGGTTAGAAGCACAATATTCCCATCCGTTCAGACATGGTTCCTTGTGGCTTTGAGGGGTTTGGGCACTATCATATATTTCTTAGGTGTCCTTCCAATCTACTTTCCATTTTTATATATGTATCCATAAATAATAAAGCGGTTTACATATGCTTTTTAAGAATATATATATGTGTATATATATACACACACACACACTCACACACTCACACACACACACACACACACACACACACGGACTTCCCTGGTGGCGCAGTGGTTAAGAATCAGTCTGCCAATGCAGGGGACACGGGTTTGAGCCCTGGTCCGGGAAGATCCCACATGTCGCGGAGCAACTAAGCCCATGCCCCACAACTACTGAGCCTGCGCTCTCAGCCCACGAGCCACAACTACTGAGCCTGCATGCCACAACTACTGAAGCCCGAGCACCTAGAGCCCGTGCTCCGGAACAAGAGAAGCCACTGCAATGAGAAGCCTGTGCACCACAATAAAGAGTAGCCCCTGCTCGCCGCAACTAGAGAAAGCCCGCACACAGCAACGAAGACCCAACGCAGCCCAAAATAAATAAATAAATAAATTTATTTAAAAAAAATTTTTTTTAAAAAGAATATATATATATATATACACATATAAATGACATCATATTGTATTTATCATTCTACAACTTACTTTTTACACTCTACACCTTTTTAGACCAATATATGGTGAGTTTTAACTCTATCTGGTATTATCAGCTTTTTCTTTAAAGTGTTTACGTCAATTTACACTCCCATTAGCCATACTTGAGCATTCTTATTTCCCCACAATCACACTCATACTTGATGCTATTCATCTCTTAGACTTTTACCAGAATGCAGGGGATTGATACAATAACATGGGTCGCAAATATGGTCTCTGGACAGCAGCATCAGCGTCGCTGGGAACATGCTAGAAATGAAAAGTCTCAGCCTCCACTCCAGAACTACTGAATCAGAAACTGGAAGTGGGGCCTAAGAGTCAGTCTCCAGTTAAATGTGACGTACACCAAAGTTTGAAAATCACTGTTTTAATAGACTGCCTTTTTAAAGGCCCCTTAACTCTACATCCAGCTATTTCCACTTTACTTTAACTAACTCAATCTTGGATATAAACTGTTTTCCCAGAAGACATGCTTTGGCACCACTGTATGTGGTATATGCTCCACTTGTTGAACTAATTGACTTGGGATGGCATTTCCTTCTTCCTATTCTCAATACTAATAAATAATGCAGAATTAAGGATTTGTAATGCTTTGGGGGAAAGGCTGGAACACCTACTATTGAAAGTCCAGCTTTTTTTTTTTTTTTTTGGCTGCGTTGGGTCTTCTTTGCTGCACGTGGGCTTTCTCTAGTTGCAGCGAGTGGGGGCTACTCTTCGTTGTGGTGTGTAGGCTTCTCATTGCGGTGGCTTCTCTTGTTGCAGAGCACGGGCTCTAGGCACTCAGGCTTCAGCAGTTGTGGCTCGCGGGCTCTAGAGTGCAGGCTCAGTAGTTGTGGCGCACGGGCTTAGCTGCTCCGCGGCATGTGGGATCTTCCCGGACCAGGGCTTGAACCCATGTCCCCTGCATTGGCAGGTGGATTCTTAACCACTGCGCCACCAGGGAAGTTCCAAAAGTCCAGCTTTTAAGTAAGTATCAAGGGTACCTTTAATATGAACTTTGAATGCATTTGGAAACTGCTATTGCAAACTTGCTTAGCATGCTTTGGGGAATAAAAAACAAAACACGGTGAACAGTAAAGTTTCTCTGTATTGATAGGATGTCCTGTAAAAAGAACTAATGATGCCTGCGAAAACAAGTCCTGTGCTTCCACATATATTATTTCACTAACGTCTTGAGAAGCAGGCAGGGCAGGGAGCATAGTCATCTCGATTTTACAGATAAGGCAACTGAAACTCAGAAATGTTAAAGTAACTTGCCCAGAGAAACCCAGTGACTAAGTAATTGCTATGTGTTGAGTACTATACTAATTGCTTCATTACATTATCTTACTCAGTCCCTGCCACAAAACATATGAAATATGGTTTAATATCTATCTTCTTCTCACCTTAAAGAGGAGAAAAAATGAGACTCAAAGAGGCTAAACTGCTGACTCAGAAACAAGCAGAAATTGGAGAAGCTGTAATTTGAACTTTTCTACTCTGCCCGACTCTACTCCCCAGTCATTCCATTTCTTGAGAGGGCTCTTTATTGACACCTATGAGATATCAGGAGTTTGTCTCAGAAAGGGGGGACATTTTGTCCCTGGGTGCTCTGTCACATTTGTGTGAACAGTGGCATCTGTAATTTGTCACAAGGGCCTCTTATGTTCCCTCAGGTAGAAAGTACCATGGCAAAAAAAAAGTCTAAATTAATCTTTGCACTTGTTCTTTGTGAGCAAAGCTTACAAACCAATTAATTTTAATCAACACAAAATAGGAATTAATGAAATTGTTTTCAAACAGAACAGGATTTCAAAGTAACACAAAATACTTCCTATCTAATGGAAAATGTAGTTTACTAATTCCCCAAGGATAAATTTAGCACCTTCATGTTGCAGTCCCTAGAGTTTCAAAAGTGTTCTCTTCTGTGTAATTTTAAAGACTCAGAAGAGCAGTTTGAAATTCAGTTCTCCCATTTAGCAGTGAGTGTCGCCTGGCCATTATATGGGCAAAAGCCATTTAATTTCTCTGAGTCTTTGCTTTAACCACACTAGTCTTAGTATTCAATATTTGTCAATGCAAATTTTGTGACTAACTAGACAATTTTGTAATCATTTAACAAAGCTACAAACAGCCAGTTTCTTCTCTTTAAGTGAGGAACAATTATGGTAGCCAATCTTAATTATTTTTACATGTCTGTATCTTTGCCATAAGCTTCTTTGCCTTAAATACCTTGCTGCAAACATTTTCGCTGCATAACCAAACGGCTGTAAGGAAATTTTGCTGTGAAAGATAAAATAACTGGTTGACAGTTTTGGGGTTGACAGTTTGGTTTCAACTGGTTAGTATATCCTCCAGTTAGCGATGTTATTGATGGCGTTATTGAGCTGACAGATGATTTGCCCCAAGAGTTGGTTTCTTACTTTGAAACACACTACTTTGGAGGAGAAAGAGGTCTCCAAGGTGCAAAGTTGAACCCACATTTCCCATAGAGCTTCGGAACATCTATCAGTGGACATCTGACTACATACCAAGAACGAACTATGGTATAGAGGCTTTCACAACGCAATACAGAGCTCAGTTACAAATATGCCTCCTAGTATTTGAAAACTGATACTTCTCTTAACAAAGGAAAAAGTTTTAGCAAAAAAGAAAAAGTGCAATGCTGAATGATGAGACAAATCAACAAGAAAAAAACTGTATAAAATACTATGAACAGAAGACTTGGAAGACAAGTGCTTAGGTACAATTCACAAAATAAAATCAGTTATTTGTGCAGTATTGTCATGAATCCACATGCATTTTAAATGTATTCAAATGTTTTGTATTTTGCAATAAAGTCTTTTTAATTTTGTTATTCATTTTACGTGTTTATGTCCTTTTTAATGTCCCTCTTTTATTTTTCATTATTTTATCTTTTACTGCAAAATTGCCTTACAGTCAATTGGTTATGTGGTGAAAATGCTTACAGCAAAGCTGTCTACAGCAAACATGCTTACGGTGAAAGTACCTACAACCTTATTATCAATTTAGGAATCTTTCTCTTAGTGGTACTGAGGGACCTAAAAGAGTTCTGGAGGAATTATGACAGAGCATTTTTTCAAAAAGAATATAAAGTCAAGCCATGCAAAGACATGGGAGACTCTTAAGTGCATATTACTAAGTGAAAGAAGCCAATTTGAAAAGGCTATAAACTATATGATTCCAACTATATAACATTTTGGAAAAGGCAAAACTATGGGAATGACAAAAAGGTGAGTTGACGCCGAGGATTAGCGGGGAGGCAGGGATGAATAGACAGAGCACAGAGGATTTTTAGGACAGTGAAGCTATTCTGTATGGCACTGTAATGGTGAATACAAGTCATTATATTTTTGTCCAAACCTATAGAATGGAAAACGCCAAAGGCGATGGTAATGTAAACTATGGATTTTGAGTTATAATGATGTGTCAGTGTAGGTTCATCTATTCTAACAAATGTACCACTGTGACTCCGGACATTGACAGTGGGAGAGTTCTGCGCATATGTGGGGGCGTGGGGTGTATGGGAACGCTCTGTACTTTCTGCTCAAATTTGCTGTCAACCTAAAACTGCTCTAAAAAATAGTTTATTTTTTAAAAAGAATATATACCCATTTTTCATTAATATAAACTTCTGGATTCTATTCATGTTTATATCACTTTATATTGCACTATTTTGTAGCCCTTAAAAATTTCAACAAGGGATTTCCCTGGTGGCACAGTGGTTGGGAGTCCACCTGCCAAGGCAGGGGACACGGGTTCGAGCCCTGGTCCAGGAAGATCCCACGTGCCAAGGAGCAACTAAGCCCGTGCACCACAACTACTGAGCCTGTGCTCTAGAGCCTGCGAGCCACAACTACTGAAGCCTGCACGCCTACAGCCTGTGTTCCGCGGCAAGAGGAGCCACCGCAATGAGAGGCCCGTGCACCGCAACGAAGAGTAGTCCCCATTCGCCCCAACGAGAGAAAGCCCGCGCAGCAACGAAGACCCAACGCAGCCAAAAATAAATAAATAAATAAAAACACAATAGCCAATGCTTCTGGAGCACTTACTGCAGATCCAGCACTATTCTAAGCATCCTACATACACTAACTAATTTTCAATCCTCTCACCAACACTATGAATGAGGAACTATTATTACCATACGATTTTAACAGAAAACCGAGGCACAGAAATGTTGAGTGACTTGACCGAGGTCTCATAGCTGGTATGGTAGAGCTGAGACTCAAACTCAAGCCACCTGAATTCAGAGTCAGCTCTCAGCCTCAACGCCATGCACTTTCAGTTGTTCTTAGGGGTAGAAAACCAAGAACTGGTCTGTGGTGGCAGGGGGAATCTTACTCATTTTATGTGTAAAACACACACACACACACATATATATATATGTATACGTACAGTACAGAAACAAACATACAGTATATCTCTGGTATTAAAATTTCATGGAGGGGCAACTAGGAATATTGGCTAAAAAGGTACCAGGGTCAGGGGCCAGGGGAGATCATGAAAAGAAAACTGAGAAACATGGCTCTGTACTTTACAGCCTCTCTTCTTTTAGCATGGGGGAAGACTGGCCCTGTTGTACTAAGTAAAAATTATCTGTCACTCATTATTTCATTCAATACATATGAATTATGTGCTTATTATATGTCAGGTACTAGGTATAAAATGATGAACAAGACTTTAAAGTACCCTATCTTTAGGGAACTACCAGTCTGTCAGCTAAACAGGCAAATTCAATACAATATGCTAAGTACTCTGATAGGAATAATAATGGGATGCTACTTTATCCAGACTTGAGAGATGGGGAAGTTTCAAACGGTTTCTTAGAAGAGATGATGTCTCAGCTGGATCCTAATGGAACAGTAGGGATTTATCAGGCCCAGTGAGAGAGTGGAGACAAAGTGGGAGAAGAAGGGCACCCCAGACAGAGATACCAGCATGTGAAAAGACTCAAGGTCATAAGAAACCAAGCTGGGTATGAGATGGACAATAAAGAAGCGGAAAGAATTTGAGGGAAGGAATAAAAAGATGAGGCTCAAGTAAGCAACTGCCGGGTCAAAAGGACCTCATAAAGCGTGCCAAGAAATTTGGACTTTACCCTGAAGGAAACAGCGGGCCAGCAAAAGGTTTTATGTAGGAGAATAACATGATCAGAATCGTGTTTCAGGATTCCTTGGGCCACAATGTAGAGGACAGGTTACAGAGTTGAGAGGCAGGAAGAGGAGCTGGGATTGCTACAAGAATAACTTACAACAAAAGGTTCGTTTTTGAGACTTCCCTGGTGGTCCAATGTGTAAGACTCTGCGCTTCCAATGCAGGGAGCCCAGGTACAATCCCTGGTCAGGGAACTAGATCCCACATGCCTCAACTAAGAGTTCGCATGCTGCAACTGAAAGATCTCGCACGTTGCAAGGAAGACCCGGCACGCAGCAATGAAGATCCCACGTGCCCCAATGCAGCCAAATAAATAAATATTAAAAAAAAAAGTTCTTTTTCATACCTGGCCTCAGGGTGACAGTTATCATATTCTACAGTTTTCAACTGCCTGAATAGTTATGTTTCTGCCTGTTTTGCTCCACACTCATTACGATCAATAACAAAGGTTAAGAAAGCATTCTGGGGGGCTTCCCTGGTGGCGCAGTGGTTGAGAGTCCGCCTGCCGATGCAGGGGACACGGGTTCGTGCCCCGGTCCGGGAAGATCCCACATGCCGCGGAGCGGCTGGGCCCGTGAGCCATGGCCGCTGAGCCTGCGCGTCCGGAGCCTATGCTCCGCAACGCGAGAGGCCACAACAGTAAGAGGCCCGCGTACCGCAAAAAAAAAAAAAAAAAAGAAAGCATTCTGGGATTTGTAGGTATGGTACCCTCTTTTGTGTCACAAAAATACAAAAATGAAAATAAACATTCCAAAGTATTAAATAAGTTGACAGACTGTCTCCCCAAGAAGTAAATTACTCACAGTGCCTTCAACCTCTGAATAGAGTCCTGACCAGAAGCTGAAAGTACTTTTATCCAGCTGATACAGTCGAGATTTCTCAAATGTTTCTGAATCCATGATCTGTCCTAACTCCAGTGGTACATGAGTTGTTGTTTTATATATCCGTCTCTGAAATATTTTGAAGAAAACACCTTAAGGAAACAGTCAAGCTAACTCATTACTTATTACAAGTCATTTACAATCAAACTTTGGTTTATAACATTAACTTGTCACTTAAGCCTGTTGAATTTGCTTTATACATACACAAATACTGCGTTTGATGAAGTACACTGACCACTAAAACAACTCGTGCAGGGAAGTAAAAGCATGAGAGAACCTGCAACTAGTTGACTAGGTGAAATTAAAATCAAAGCTGTCACATACTTTGGTTTGCAGAGGTAAACCAAAATTGTAACATTACAAAGAGTACTACTCATTCCAGGTACAGCATACATCCTATAATATAGAAACTAAATTCATGGACAGAAGGAAGTAAATATGCTAATCATGAGTTTTAATAGATAATGTGGCTAGTCATTAAATTTGATTCTAGAAGACAAATTAAGGGAAATTTGAGGAACGACAGAAACAGATCAGGTCTTCAAGAAAGACAAACTTTCTTGTTATACCAAATTCTAGAAAGTAATTTCAGCCCATGGTACATAATACAGAGAACAGATACCAAACAATATAATGGACAGCATTTTCTACAATGGTTTTACAATAAATCTCTATTCTCTATTTATTATTGGATACCTTACCAAACCCTTGATAAAGGGTATTACATGAAAGCATAACTGAAGAAAGAAAACATTATTGAAAAGTAGTTACTGTAACTAGGCTTATTATTAAAGTAAGACAAGTAGGTAGGTGTTCAATACCCCATCTCCAATTTAGACAGTACATACTGCATGCTTACTTTCTGCAAAGGATCTTCTCTAGGCCTACAGCATTCTGTACTAATGAAGCTATCTTAAGAGCTAGTCAGAGAACCTAGTGCTATACAGCTTAACACCTCTTTGAATATCCTGGACTAAAAAAAGAAATCTAGATATAACCCAGACAATGACAGATATAGAAAATTTTTTAATTTTCAGTTTAAAGATTCATACAGAATGTAATCTGAGAGGAGAAATTTGCAGAGGAAAACGATTGTAGTGCTCAAGGAAAAGGTTTCAGCAGTTAAAAAAAGAAAGGTTTTCCTAACCATTACAGTTGACTTGATTCAGTGCCAACACAGAAGAAAACCAGCAGTGAAAGACTGCCATAAAGTGATCAATTAAACTTCAAATCTATCTCATTTAAAAGTTCAGATCTCAGAAATTCCCTGGTGGTTCAGTGTTTAGGACTCCGAGCTTTTACTGCCCGCCAGGGTGGGAGAACTAAGATCCCGCAGGCCACATGGTGTGGCCAAAAAATAAATAAATAAATAAAGTTCATATCTCTAATCCATCAAACTGTTAATTGTGATTATCTCCAGGGAACTGTTATTAAGTAACTTTCACTTTCTACTTTACTGTTTAATTGTTTGAATAAAAACAATAAAGAAGCCTTTAAGAAAATGTTCTTTGGGCAAAAACAACAATATACACTTTTTTTTTCTTTCTTTTTTATTTTTTAAAGGGAAAAGAGTTCAGGTCTTTGGAAGGACTGAGAAATCTTCATTTTCAGAAAATGGCTTCCCAGTGCTGTGGTTGAACATGACACAAATATCGTGGGCAAGTTGTGATTATAAAATTTTAGTATCTTCTTTCTGAAGGTTTATGAGTTGCTGCCAAAAATAAAGGAAGTAAGTCTGGGCCCAAGAATCCTTAGGAAGCTGTGGGGCAGGTACAAGAGCTCAGGCCTGAAAAGGCGGCAGCCCTGCCTTCCCTTTCACCAGATCCTAAGCGGCCTGGGGCCCATGACCACGTTGCGGAAAACGTCCTGAAGCACCAGATCCCCTCAAGGCCTACCCCATCATCGGGCCAAGTTAGGAGGCTCAGTAGAGACCCATAAGGTCGAGGCCGGTGCTGGGGCCGCAGCAATCATCCAGGGACTTGGAGTCGAGACCGAGGCTGGCCTAGAGCTGGCCGGGTGTCGGGGTCAGGTGGGCCCTGTCTAGGCTCACCTGCCGCCGTGCTAGGAAGGTCTCCCAGAGATACACTGTCCAGGAGAAGAGCAACACGGCCCCGAAGATACGCCTCTCGGCCGACATCTCCCACACCGCGTCCAGCGACGCCCACATCCCCATGACCACCCCGTTCCGCCGGCTCCTTCAGCGAGCACTGGTGCCACACCGACACCCGTCCCCTCAGAGCATCCCCCGCAGTGTCACAGCGATATCCGTCCCTCCCTAGAGCTCCTATACCGACACCCGTCCCATCCCACGCCCTCTGCTCAGCCCGCAGTGTTACACAGACACTCTTCCCCCGGCTGACGCTCCCTAGGGCCGCCTAGTGTCTGCAGGAACAGGATAAGCTCCGCCTTCCTCACTTCCGGCCCACAGTCCGAGTTCCGACCTCCGCCAGCCGTTGCTCCCCTGAGTCGTGTTGCACCGACATTCTTTCCCCTCCCCTCCACGGCGTGTTCCTGCCGAGGGTCCGGCTTCCCTCCTGGGCCTGGCAGAGCCGCGGACTCTCCGCTTTCTAGCCTCCCGAGTGGCAATTTCTTCTCTTCGTTCCGGGTCTTGCCCTGGCTGGGCTGCAGCCTGCGCCGTTCTTTCCGCGGTCGGGACCACTGGTCTTCGGGCTAAGCGGGAACGGACAGAGTGGGCCGCCGCTCCGGCCCTGAGGTCGCTGGGAAGAGCAGCAGAGGAGCCGGCTTCCCAGGCTCTAGAAATCATTCCTCTGAACTGGTGCTTCTCGGACTGTGGTGTGTTCATCCCTGGGATACCTTAAGACTAAAGAGCGGGACTAGGCATTATAAGTGTGTTTTGGCCTATATTGGGCTGTTCTGAATTCAGGCATATTAGAAAGTGGGTAATGAGTTTTGTTTTTATTTTGAACCCCTCGTGCAGCTTGCAGGTCTTAGTTCCCCCACCAGGGATTGAACCCGGGGCCGCGGTAGTGAAAGCCCAGAGTCCTAACCACTGGACCGCCAGGGAAGTCCCGTGGGCAACATTTTTTGTTTACTGAAATGGCAGGCAGCATTTTTTTTTTGTCCACAAAACCAAAGAATTGATTTAATATTCTAACAAAACTACAAGTATTATCATACATTAATGTGAGTAATATTTCTCGGCACCGTATCTACTAAAACAAAAAAGAAATAAAATTGAAAGTGGACCCTGCTTATCTAACAGTAAGAAATAGTCATTCAGATACATGAATTAATTGGTGGAGAAGCCCCATCTATCTCACTGAGAGATGCATTTCCAGTAGAATTTTACCTTTTATGTTTATGTGTTATCGAATTTGTAATCGTGTCAAAAGAGCAGCTACATGTTAAAGGTAATTGTAAAATTACTCAGTTCAGAAGAATTCTAATATGTAGAGCCATACAATTACAGGGAAAAAAATTAAATTTTACTTTAATACATACATATTTTTATTGCAAAGATGTGATCTATAAAATGTTTTTCAAACATAAAAAGTGTTACATTTGGATAACATGGGGAAGTGGAACATAAATATAAGTTATAAAGGAACAGTGTAGAATTATCGAATGTTAAAGAGCTCATTCATGTACTTTTAAATGGGTGATGGTTATTCAATTGTTATGTAGATTCTGTTGGACACACTATGAAGAAAGATTTAACAGTTTTATCTTATATTGTCATTATTTACAATTTGCCAGAATTTACATCCATTGCAACTATTTCAATTTATGATGAAAACTTTTAGATATCAACTTAAAAATATGAGGGGATAAACATTTTTTCAGAATGCTCACTTGGACTATCACTGCTATGTCCTCTTCAGTCTTGTCTTCTCCTGTCTGGGTCCACCCAGCCTGCTGCAGTTAGTCCAAATCCTCACAAAGCCCCTGCCACCCAAACTGTGTGGCTAAGGGCACAGGTTTAGAGTCATTGTTTACGTTCTAGTCACAGCTACACCGCATATTAACAGCTTAACCCCTCTGTGCATCACTTCCTCATCAGTAAAATGAGAATAATAGTATTTACCCCCTCACACTGTGAGGATCAAATGAGAAAAATCATATAAAACTCTTAGTCATGTGTCTGGCTCTGAATAAGTGTCCAATAAGGATTAGCTACTAGCTCACCATACTTGGGAGAATTGCACCATAGTTGATCTGTCACCGTGTGTCTGAGGAGATAAGGGACCAGGAAGCTGGTATGAGGTTTCTAAAAGTCAAAACTGGAATTGACTCATTTATTCAACAAATACTGTGTGTCTGCTAAGTACCAGACAGGGTTCTAGGTGCTGGGGATATAGCAGTGACCCAAAGCCCCTTCCTCTCCTGAAACTTAACATTCTTAGTGGGCTAGGGTGGATGAGGAGTTGACAGATAAGAAGCATATACGTAACAGTAAAAGCAGAGGAGGTGATAAGTGCTATGAAGAAAAAGCAGGGAAAGAGGGATGTAGTGTGTTGGCAGGGGCGCTGTAAGATGGTCAGGGAAGACCTCTCAGGTTGTTACTCAAAGACTGGGTCACCTCTTGGTGGGTATCGAGCCAAAACACACAACCAATGGGAATTCCCTGGCGGGCCAGTGGTTAGGACTCCATGCTTTCACTGCCGAGGGCCTGGGTTCAGTCCCTAGTCGGGGAACTAAGATATTGCAAGCCGCATGGCACAGCCAAAAAACAAAAACAAAAACAAAAGACACAACCTAGCCAAAGAGTGGGAGAAGGAAGGATTTACTACTTGCAGCAAGTAAGGAGAACACCAAGGATCTTTCCCAAAGCAGCGTCTCCCCGAACAGCAAAATTGGGGAAGTTTAAGCATATTCGTGAAGGAGCTTGAGCAGAGGAGAATTCAGCATAGAATTGGGGCAAAGGTTGCCAGAGCCCAAGCTCTAGTTGACTGAAGTCATGAGGATCAGAAAAGGTCAACATCATCATTCCTTTGGTTCCACCCAGTTTGGGATCTTTGCATGTAGTTACCATCCTTCACCTGGGTGGGGACTTAAGTTCCTGAAGAACAGCTCAAAGATATGTACCAGATTGTTACAGGAATCTGTTTTAGCACTGAACTATTGTTTCTTTTCTTTCTTTCTTTCTTTTCTTTCTTTTTTTTTTTTTACTGGTGTATAGTTGTTTTACAATGTTGTATTAGTTTCTACTGGACAGCAAAGTGGAGTTCCCTGTGCTATACAGCAGGTTCTCATTAATTATCTGTTTTATACATATTAGTGTATATACGTCAATCCCAATCTCCCAATTCATCCCACCTCTCTTTTCCCCCCTTGGTGTCCATACGTTTGTTCTCTACGTCTGTGTCTCTATTTCTGCCTTGCAAACCAGTCCATCTGTACCATTTTTCTAGATTCCACAAATATGCGTTAATATACGATATTTTGAACTATTGTTTCTTGACTGCTTTTCCTTTTGTTCCCTTAAACTCATTAATTACTGAGACCTGTTCAAGGGCAAGCCTTGTGGCCAGGCTTAGATCACAAAATGGCATAGGCCTAAAATGGCTTCTCTTATATCAAGAAAGCCATGCCTGGTTGTTTTTCTCTGGGGACCCCTACCCTATCTGCTTACAAGGTTAGCTGACACTTGAGTACAGACCCAAAGAAAGTAAGAGAAGAAGCCAAGGCGTGTGGGTCTGGGAGAAGTGTGCCATGCACGGTGAACAGCAAGAGCAAAGGCCCTGAGGTGTGACAATGCTTAGCATATTTGAGGAGTAGTAAGAGAGTGGGGAAAGAGTGGAAAAAATAAGAAGGAGGGGTATGCAGATCATGCCGTAATGCAAAGTCTTTTAGTTAAGAACTTGACCTTTACTCAGCGGGAAATAATAAGCCATTGAAAGGTTTTGAACAGAGAAGTAAAATGATCTTTTCAGCTACTCTGTAGAGAATAAATTGAAAGGGGACACAGATGGAAGCAGGGAGTCCAGTTAGGAGGCCAATTCATAAATGCAGGTGAGACATGCTGGTGGCCTGGACTAGGGTGGTAGGGGTGGAGGGAGAAGGGAATCATGGAAAGTAATAACTTGTTCCCCTTTGCAGAAAGATAGTGTTAATAGATGGGCTGGTCCATGTGGAGACTGACATGGGAGCCTCCAAACAGGCTATTGTCAGGGTTTTGCCAAAGAAGAGGATACGGATGCCCCTCCCTAGAGTGTGGCCACTGGTGTAAGGTAGTTCATCTACCCCATCTAACCTGAATGATAAAATGGCTCTCAAACCCTTTCCCTATTTTTCCTTGATTCTCTGTTTGCCAAGCATCCAAGATCTCTTAATTGATGCCTTGGACATAAGTGATCTGATCGCAAGAAAAGAATGACCCCCCCACTAGGAATGAATACTTGGTATCAATCTCTTATGATTGTGGTGAGAATCATTTATCTTTTCTGGGGAACTGAGGGCCAGGAACAAGGTGACCCCATAACCGTGTAACTCAGGTTGGGACTTGAACCCACGGTCTTTTAACTGAGATCACACCTGGTCTCAGGACTTAATGAAGCTCAGGTTCTTGATGTCTCATCACAGAAAGAATTCAGTGAGAGACAAAGTGATAGGTAAGAAGTGGATTTATTTAGGGAGAAACACGCTCCACAGACAGTGTGGGCCATCTCAGAAGGTGAGAGTGGCCCCAGGGTATGGGGTTGTCAGTTGTTATAGGGTGGGTGATTTCGTAGGCTAACGAGTGGGAGGAGTATTCCAGCTATTTTGGGGAAGGGGTGGGGATTTCCAGGAATTGGGCCGCTGCCCACTTTTTTTTTTTAATTTAATTTTTTTATACAGCAGGTTCTTATTAGTCATCATTTTATACACATCAGTGTATACATGTCAATCCCAATCTCCCAGTTCATCACACCACCACCACCCACCCACACCAGTTTCCCCCCTTGGTGTCCATACGTTTGTTCTCTACATCTGTGTCTCTATTTCTGCCCTGCAAACCGGTTCATCTGTACAATTTTTCTAGGTTCCACATATATGCGTTAACATACAATATTTGTTTTTCTCTTTCTGACTTACTTCACTCTGTATGACAGTCTCTAGATCCATCCACGTCTCAACAAATGACCCAATTTCGTTCCTTTTTATGCTGAGTAATATTCCATTGTATATACGTACCACATCTTCTTTATCCATTCGTCTGTCGATGGGCATTTAGGTTGCTTCCATGACCTGGCTATTGTAAATAGTGCTGCAATGAACATTGGGGTGCATGTGTTTTTGAATTATGGTTTTCTCTCTGAATTCCAGTAGTGGAATTGCTGGGTCATGTGGTAATTCTATTTTTAGTTTTTTAAGGAACCTCCATACTGTTCTCCATAGTGGCTGTATCAATTTACATTCTCACCAACAATGCAAGAGGGTTCCCTTTTCTCCACACCCTCTCCAGCATTTGTTGTTTGTAGATTTTCTGATGATGCCCATTCTAACTGGTGTGAGGCGATACCTCATTGTAGTTTCTTTTTTTAATTAATTAATTAATTAATTAATTTTTATTTTTGGCTGCGTTGGGTCTTCGTTGCTGCATGCGGGCTTTCTCTGGTTGTGGTGAGCAGGGCCTACTCTTTGTTGAGGTGTGCGGGCTTCTTATTGCGGTGGCTTCTCTTGTTGTGGAGCACTTTTTGACCTTTATGGTTGGCCTTGGAACGGTCACGGTGCCTCTGGCTGTGTCATTTAGCACGCTGTATTACAATGAGTGTATACTGAGGCTCAAGGTCTAGTGGAAGTCGACTTGTCCGCCATCTTGGACCTATCTGTTTCTAATCAGTTTATGTCGTGTCCTCGGGCTATGTCATTCTTTTAAAGGTTGTGCCCTGCCCCCTTCCCTACTGTTTCAACCCCATCACTTTCTTTTGCATCTAGCTCATTCTATCCCGTCTCCCACACAGACTACCAAATCTATGTTACTCCCCTGTTTAAAAACCTTCACTGGGCCATTCCCAACAGTATGGCATGAACTTTAAGGCCCTTCATTACCTGACATCACTCTACTCTTCTAGACCTTCTTCTGACACTTTCCTTTGATATACCCCAGAGTGGTAAGCAAGACAAGAAGACTGGAACTATGCACGAAGACACTGAAATTTAGCACAAAAAATTGAGACACTGACTTTAAAAGATTGCATGGCACTCCTTCAGCAGCACAGTTCAAAACCTTCCCACCTACACCGTCAGATAATGCACATTGTTGATAACTCCCGTCTGTTCTGTTCACATCAGAAATTAAAGCTGATCTGAGGATGAGGTTAGTGTGTCCTTCCCTGAAGCCAAAGTCCTTCATTTGTCGCTCTGGAAATAGGCAGTTCTCAGTCACCCTGAAACTCTCCTTGCCCTCCAAGTAAGCCATCCTCTTTCTCACATGGCTCTGTGGTAAGCCCACCAGCAGGAATACTTTCCATTTCAGTGTCTGCCTGTGTAACCCCTTATGTGACAACTCAGTGTCACCTCCTCTGCCAAGGCTTTCCTGGCCCCGCCCTGTATTCACCAGCCTGTTTTTGCACTACACAGTGAAGTCTCATCTTTATTCAGGAGTTGCATTCTAACTCCCATGCACTGGACAAAAATTATGACCAGAATTACCTGCAGAAATCCCTTAGGAAGATGTCACTTGTCATGCCAAAACCTTGGTTCTCTGTACACCGATGCCAAACAGAAATACAGAGACAGAGTTATGGAGGAGAAAGAAAGAGTGACTTTATTTCTTTGCCAGGCAGAGAGGGAACACCGCAGGCTAGTGCCTCAAGAACTGTGCCCCCCTCGTCCGGGGTAGTGGTCAGAGGTATGTTATAAGGATCTAGGCAGCGACAGTCTTACATTCTTCTTTCTTCAGCAAAATTGCAAAAGGGTGGGGCTGCTGACAGGATTAGGGTGTGTGCAGGGTCTCTGGTGGTCTCCTAATCTTGATGAGCTTCTCTGGTCCCTTTAATCCTGCCTCAGGTGGTTTCCTGGCTGCTCCTCCCTAGATGAGCAACTGTTCAGATCTGCCTTTTGGCACTCAGGGAAGGTCATGGAGGCTGGAGTCCTGCCTACAAGAAATGGGGGACAAAAACCCCTCCATGCCCGGGAACCCCACAGGGCCCTGCTTGGCATCACTTGGGAGACTGCTGTGTTGTGTCCTGTGGAACAAGGCAGCCAGTTTTCCTCCAGCATGGCAATAAACCACTGTTTATAAAGTATTTCATTTAGGTGTCAGATGGTTACAAAGTGTTTCAATGACTGTAATCACATTTACTGTGGCAAAATGCGCACACTATAAGGCTTGTGGAATCTGAGACCCACTGAGACAACCATCTACTACCATCTCCCCAGTACGCCATCTTTCTCAGCAGGGGACACACTCATTGAGTGGAATGGCAGGTAGGTGCCTCCTTCCCTTCTTCCCTCCCTGCTAAGCTAGGATTCACATGAGGAGAATTCACCTAAGCTAAGATATGACCCTTGTTCTGTATTATCTTTTTTTTTTTTTTGGCTGCACGGCTTGCGGGATCTTAATTCCCTGACCAGGGATTGAACCCACGACCTCGGCAGTGAAAGCGCGGGGTCCTAACCACTGGACCGCCAAGGAATTCCCTGTATTATTTTTATAATTCCTTGTTCTGAAATGACCTGTCCAACCAACCAAACTGAGTGCTCCAGAAGCACTCAGAACAGATTCCCAAGGATGATCACAATGCTTTCTTAGCACAGAATAAGAATTAGTAAAAGTTGGATAAAATCAAACAATCTCCTTTATGTCCAGCCCCACCCTTGCCCACCTCTGAATAATTAATGCAGGGAGACTCCAGGCCACATATTTATCTTTAGGCCAAAAACCAGCACAAGAGCCAGCCTCCCTCTCTATAGGACAGTCCACAGCATCACCCTTAACAGCACTTTCTTGCTGTTTTTATTATATCGAATCCAACCTCTTCAGCATGGAGCCACCTCCCTGACCACTCTCCCTTCTGTTCCCACTCCTATGATTCCTTTTCTATATGGCTGCTTAGGGTCTCCAGCCTGCCAAGTGGGCACCACAATCTCAGACATTTTTAACCACCACAATCCCCCACGTAACCCCACCACACACACAAGTGGAAGCTGGGCCCTGCTGAATAGAGAGCCAGTCCTGGCTGGGTAATTTCAATATAGTTCTCCGTCTTTATTGATACACCACTGCACACATGAGGGAAACAGTGCTTTTCTAGAAAAGATTGGAGTCCATCACATTTCAGATGCGGATGTAAACCCTGATGTAAGCAAGGGACTCTGGCAGTCAGAGCAGCTGCAGCTGCGCTCAGAGGAGCAATCCCTCTTTGTGGCAGGTTTTTGGGAAATGATCATCCTTTCCAGGTCCTTCATTTTGTTTTCCACTGTCTGAAGTTTTTCCAGAATTTTCTCTTGCAGACCCAAAGATAGGAAGATATTATTGTCTTGAAATGGGAGACCATTCCCTTCTGGGTTGACCAGCAAAGCCTGAAAAAAATCTGAGCCTTTCTTGTAAAGTGTGTAGAGTGTGATTGCAAACAACAATATTTTCTAAAATAAAACAACAGAAGTTGAACGTTACTTGTTTATAAATGTGAAATGCCACAGTTTACTGTAGATGCAAAAACAAAAGATGACTCTAAAAGTAATTATAATCCCTCATTCCTATGCCAAGGCTTCTGTCTAACAAAACATCTTCACACCTATTTTGTCTTTTGATCTTTATCACAAAATGGAGTGGTAGGCAGGTCAGGGATTATTATAATTAATATAATTAAAAAAATAATAGTAGATACTGTTTGCTGAAAGTCTGCCTCATGCAAGGCTCTGTGCTAGGAGTTTCCTTCCCTATGCAGGACCTATTTATGTAGAAAAAAACAGAGCTGGATAACCATTTAGATGCCTTCCAGTTCGGACTCTGTCATTGTCCAAGGTCATATATTTGGAAATGGTAGAGCCAGGACTGGAATCCAGGAATTCTGATTTCCATATATATATTCCATATATATATTCTCTTAGGACACAGTGGTCTGAAACACTGGATTTCCTGGTCATAGAAAAAAATTTTTTTTAATGTGCTAGGACAGAGTCCTGGTAGGAAAAGAAAAGAAATCAACTTTTTTCCTTATAATAATTAGCACTGCTTACTGAGTACTACTGTGTGCTAAGCTTTATACATACAAGATCTCCTTTAATCCTCACCAAAACCCTGAGGGAGGCACTGTTAGCAAACCGATTTCACAGATAAGGAAACTGGGGTTTACAGGCTAAGTGACTGCTCTCACATCACACAGCAAGTGATAGAATGAAGAAGCCCCCGTAGTCTGACTCCAGAGCTTATTAACCACTCTGTTATACTACCTCTTTTTGGCTGAGGTGTCTGTTATACTACCTCTTTTTGGCTGCGAATTCATCTTTCTGATTGAATTAAACAATAACCAAACAAGAGCAGAACCCAGAAGTACAGATAAGAGTTTGGCGTTTTGCCTTCTATTCTTCTATATTCTAATTGAAATACATGTACATGAATATGTAGACACACAAATCCCTGTTGGGGATTTAGGTCAGTTGGACTATATTAAATGAGATTTTTGGAGAAGAATTTAATTTAGAATCCTAAAAATTGGGTTCAAATCTCAGCTTTTACAATCTATGTCACCTTGGGTCAGTGATAACCAAGTTCGCTCACCTACAAAATGGAGATAATAATCCCTGCCCTGCCTACCATGCAAGGTTTTGAGAGATTAAGAGAATGCATGTGACTGATTTCTCAACAGTAGTGACATGAAAATAAGTGAGCGCTACAAAATAATCCAGTAATAACTTATCTCAGCATTTACCAAGTAAACCAGTCACCCTTTAACAAAGCCCTCTTTAAGTCCCGTCTCCTTAAATTTAGGCTGAACCTCAGTGCACCTCAGTTTCCTAGTTCGTCATATGAAAATAACCTCTATTTCATGGAACTGTTGGGATTCTCAAAGCATTTTAACTATATTGTCAATATAGCTATAATTGGTAATTAAACAGAGGTATGCTTGTAAAATCCTAAATGTTTTTCATAATCCCAGCCAATTGTACTCCTACTCCCCAAAAGAGCCCCTGTATATTCATTGTGATGACTAAATAAATATACACGCTTCCTCATCAGTTACAGAGCAAAGGCACAGTAAGAACAGAAAGGCGAAACCCAAGATCCCAGTTATACTTGCAGTGCTATTCTATAAGAGGTACTCCATATGGTGTCTGGCACATGGTTAGACACTCAAAGATGAATACAAATATATGATCAAATAAATTTGGAGGTCAGGCTGCCTTCTCAGATTATGAACTTCTTTAATGTGTTTTATCATAAGACAAGTCAAAGATCATTGTGAGAAAGACCATTTTTATGCCAAAAACATAACTGATGGAAGTTTTTAAGGATAACGTAGTTTCAACCAACTTCAGAGACAAAGGTTCACTCTGGTTTATATGCATGGTCTTAAAACTGGGTGGCAGCAATATGGGAGGGAACTGACCAAATTTCAATGTAAAACTATTTAAATTTCTCTGTAACGAAAGAGTATAACCTGAATTGACTGAACACTTCGTTTCCATAAGGCATATACTCCTATTCCCAACAAAATCAAAAAGGAAATCTCCAGGATAACTTGCACAGCCGGAGCAAGATTATCTAGTAGCCCCAAACTTGTTTGCTGAGGCACACTAGTCTCTCTCAGAAAAGTTGCTTGTAGATAATTCCATATCGAGCTCAGAGAGATGATGTCCCAGATAGAAGACAAAGGTGACATTTTAACATAACAGCAGCTCCAGGAACTGCATGTGCAGAGGCTTTAGGAACCTAGATAGAGTTAGGAAGAGTTGTCTGGGAGTCCAGTTCTGAAGCCATTGTGAGCTGTGCTTTGTGATATCACTGTTCTGAAGCTCAGCTTGTTTCCCACTCACCCACTGAAGCTTCTCACTCAAAACCAAGCAGACAGTGGTCTGAATTTTCAGTTCAGTCATAGCACTCTCTCTAATCTTCGGCAAGTCCTAGCTCTAACACAGCACTGTCCAACAGAACTTTCTGCAATGATGGAAATGTTCTATATTTGCTCTGTCCAACATGGAAGCCACTAGTCACTTGAAATGTGGACAGTGTGGCTGAGGAACAGAATTTTACATTTTATTAAATGTAAATTTAAGTAGCCACATGTGGCTAGTGGCTACCCTCTTAAACAGTGTATAGAACATTTCCAACAATCCATGGGACGGAGAGCAATTATTTTCACATTTCAACTGAGAAAACTGAGGTTAAGTGGAGAGGAGAGGAGACAGGATTTAAAAAGGGCTTTTCTAAAGAGCAAACAGTTTACTTGGTAAATGTGGAGGGAGGTTCTTACTGGATCATTTTGTAGCATTTCCTTTTTCATATGTCACTACTGCTTAGAAATCGTGATCTTTGGAAAAGCTTTTGACATATTTGAGCCTCATTTTGCTCATCTGTTTACATCTCCTTCATAAGATTTACATTAGGAACAAATGGTATCATTTCCTAAGCACTTTGTAAACAGTAGCATGCTGTACCATAACCTATATGCCATGTTATCAAGTCCATTATTTACTGACTAGTACCTATCTACTCAACAAGGAGGTATGGAAGTATAAAATATAAGGTCTGTTCCCAAAAATCTTACATGAAAAAAAGGTAGTTCACACACAAGCGTATAATATAAATTGTGAGATCATTTACCAAGACAGCAAGAATCCAAAAGAGGGTTTGCACCAAGAGGAGGGGAGGGGCATGGTAAGTAAGGAGAGAAAGGGTCAGTTATGACAACTTTTAGAAAAATATTGTCTGATGCTATTCTGATTTGTTCATCTGGTTGACTGAAAGAAAGAAGATGAATAGGGAAGCCTGGTGGAGAAAGAATAACTGTTTTGTTCTTGCAGGAATCAGAGGTATGGCAAGTTGCTTGAGGTGTCAGGGACACATCCAGGAAGCGGAGTCTAGAATGTTGTTGGATATATAGTACCATGTCAGGGCGAAATGACCCACTGATTTAGGAGCGACTGCTAATGATGTTAAACCCATAGTCTGCTAGTGACTGACCACAACCAGAATCTTTTCTAGAAAGGAATACACATTACTCAGATAAGACTTGGGATTTTACTATAACAAGTTAAACATATGTCAGAAACCATTAAAGAATGATAACCAAAAACTTTTTGGAGAAAAATATGGTTGTGACAACCGAATCATTACCCAAGACTTCCTATACTAGATGAGATCCCCCTGTTACATGGCACCTTAGACTTTACTTTCAAAGCACTTAACACGATTAAGGTTATTTGTGCAATTTTGGGTTTAATATATCTTCCCTGACTATTGTAAACTCAAGGAAGACAGGGACCAAGTCCATTTTATTGACTACTGTATCCCTAGTGCTTGGTACTTAGCAGGCATTCGAATATTTTTAAGTAAATACAAAGTCCCCTAGAAGAATTCCAAATATCCTTATAGCCTAAACTGTTCAATCATCAAGTGCCCATTACCGTATTTGTATACTCATTTCTATAGAAGCTTTATAGAGTAGCTGTTAAGAGGATAGGCCTTTGGGAGTATAATGGATCTGGGTTCAAATTAGGCTGTACTATTCACTAACTTTGTTACCTTGGGCAGGTTACTTAACTTGAGGCTCAGTATCTTCATTGGTAAAGTGAGAGTAATTCCTACCTTGTAGGGCTACTGTAATGAGAACTCGATAATTTGTGTAAAAGAGGGCAACTATTATTTATAGTGATGTTTATGACCAAATGCAAGGTATTGTGGATCTCAATAGTATAAAGTTCCTCAAAGAGAATCTAGTCTGAAAACCCATCTATTGTTTGACTCGCCTCTCGGACACCAGAACACCTCCAGTGATGAATTTATCACCATGCGAGGTATCTCAGCCCACCTTTAGTGTCATCCATCCATCCATCCCTCAGTCACTTCCACATTGTGCCCTGTTAGGACTTCTTGACTTACACTGCAACTTATGATTTATGCAGTGCCTACTTTCAAAGCTTCACTAGGTTCTTCATTGTCCTTCAAACAAAATCCAAAATCCAGACCATAGTGACAGGCACTAAAATACCTGGTTCCTGCTGACGTATCCAATCTTCTCTCCTACCCCTTTCCCTGTTATTCTCTTGACTCTATAGCTCTACTAGATTTGTCAATGTCACTAACACACCAAGCTGTTGTACCACAAATCCTTGGCACATAATTGGATTATCCTAACGCCTGCTATTTCTTCAGGTTTAAACATTGCTTCCTTTAAGGAAGATTTTCCTGTCCTCTTTTTCGGTTCCCTCAGTCAGGGCATCTTTTGTAGCACTTTTACTTAACTAATTTTTTGTAGTGTTTTGTTTAATGTCTGTCTTCCTGACTAGACTCTAATCTCCAGGATGCAGGAAACTTACCCTGTCATGTTCAACGTTCTCCCCAGAAGCTGGCAGAAGGTGTGTGCTTAGTAAATATCTGGCTATAGCTTTCCTATTGCCTCTTGTCTTCTCTTTTCCAGGCTAAACCTGCCAAATACAGGTTGACAGGTTTTTAAATCTCCTGACTATCCCAGTTACTTCCTCAGAGAGGTTCAGGCCTCCAAATGCAGGCCGTCACAGACTATATTTCTGCAAGTGTAGACAAAGCAGGCCTGCTAGCACAGTGGGCCACTCTTTGCAGACTCAGCTGTACATAATAGGAGGTTGTGTCCCGAATCAGGAGTATAAAGCCGCGAGGCCTCACCGTCTACCATGGGGGTGAAGAGGGGACACCAAGCAACTTTTCTGATTTTCAGAAGTTTCTTTCCGAAAGAAAAACTGACTTTTCCATAGGTCACACGATATTCACAGAAACAATAGTTTCTCCTTTCCACCTCTTTCTCAAATGAGTAACTGTCAACACTGGACGTATGACTGGAGTTGGATCTGCATGACCTGGCTTTTACCTATGCTTCAAACTTTATTTCCCACTACTCACTTTCACAAAAAATACAGCTTAATTACAGAACTGTGGTATTTGTGGTACTTTAAATACCACCTGCCACTTTCCATCTTTCTTCTTTCACATTAAGTTCCCCTCCCTGACATTTTTCCAGTCAGATGAGATTGGAAACTGGGCTCCACCTCTTCCTAGCTTTATCAGCTAGGCAAGACACTTCATCCCTCTCTTTTTATCTGTCAAATAAGAATACTAACAGTACTGACTTCATGGAGTTATGAAAATTCAACAAGGTAATTTTAAGTAAAGTGCTAAAAAAAAAAGTGTAATTATCCTGCATTCTCACAGCACTTCCCACTTCGTATTCTGGGCCACTGCTTCTAGAACTTTTCTGTGCCTATAAATCATCTGGAGATCTTACTGAAATGCAGATTTTGGACCAGGAGGTCTGGACTTGACATTCTACATTTTGAACAAGCTCCTAGGTGATGCCCATGCTGCTGATCTGTGACCACACTTTGATTAAAATGTTTAAGCTACCCCAGCTCTCACATTAAAGCTCCATGATAGCAGATCCTGTAACAAATCTGCTTTGTTATTTTTATCTCCCAAAACATCTGGAATTATCTTTACATATTTGGCTAATGACTAACTCTGTTCTCCAGTGACTGTCCTTCACAGTGCAGGTCAAAAGTAGGTAAGCTGGGACAGGCTTCCCTGGTGGCGCAGTGGTTGAGAATCTGCCTGCTAATGCAGGGGACACGGGTTTGAGCCCTGGTCTGGGAGGATCCCACATGCCGTGGAGCAACTAGTCCTGTGAGCCACAACTACTGAGCCTGCGCGTCTGGAGCCTGTGCTCCGCAACAAGAGAGGCTGCGATAGTGAGATGAGAGGCCCACGCACCGCGATGAAGAGTGGCCCCCGCTTGTTACAACTAGAGAAAGCCCTTGCACAGAAACGAAGACCCAACACAGCAAAAATAAATTAATTAATTAATAAACTCCTACCCCCAACATCTTCTTTAAAAAAAAAAAAAAAAGTAGGTAACCTGGGACCAAGAGGATAGGTTAGGGATGAAATCCCTAGGAAGGCTAATCACTAATGACTTGGTCTCTTTCACACATGTGCTCATGAACATGGGGAAACATGGAAGCAAGAGAATTCTGGGTAAAATTCAAGAATCAAAGTGTCTGGCATTCTCGACTTCCACATATCATTTTAGGGGGCACAAACTCGGTGCTTCCAGGTCTGTGTCAGGGGTTGGGGACAAACCCCAAAGAGACATCAAGTAAAAATGACAGTACTAAAAACTTCAAAAATAGCCCTCTGATCTTCTGTATTATCATATAATCACACATGCTGGTTTTTAACAGAACATTGTCTTCAATAAAGATCAGATGAAGCAAGCCACTACAACTGGAACAGAAAATGATCTTAGCGTCACCTTAAAGCAAACCTTCAACTGGGTTCTGAAAATTAGGGTTTGGTTCCACTGCAAATGGACTCACTTGGTCCTTCCAGGAGGTAGGAGTTAGAGGTGGTTGAATGGATATAGTTGAGTGTATTTTATTTTGGCCGAACTGGGCGGCATGTGGGATCTTAGTTCCCTGACCAGGGATCGAAACTGTCCCCTGCAGTGGGAGTGCAGAGCCCTACCCACTGGACGACCAGGGAATTCCCCTTTATTTTTATTTATTTATTTTAAAAATTTATTTTATTTTTGGCTGCGTTGAGTCTTCATTGCTGCGTGCAGGCTTTCTGTAGTTGCAGCGAGCCGAGGCTACTCTTCGTTGCAGTGCACGGGCTTCTCGTTGTGGAGCATGGGCTCCAGGTATGCAGGCTTCAGTAGTTGTGCTGCATGGGCTCAGTAGTTGTGGCTCGCAGGCTCTAGGGCGCAGGCTCTGTAGTTGTGGCTCACTGGCTTAGTTGCTCCGCGGCATGTGGGATCTTCCTGGACCAGGGCTCGAACCCATGTCCCCTGAACTGGCAGGTGGATTCTTAACCATTGTGCCACCAGGGAAGCCCTCCCCTTTATTTTTAAATTTTTACAATTTTTTTTTTGGCTGTATATAGTTGAGTCTTAAACAAATTAGCAGCTTTCTCTTGGTCTGATCTAAAAATCTCTAGTATTAGGAATTTTTTAAATGAGGCCACTGGTTATTTCTCATGCTCAGATCACAGATAAGGACCTTTCAAAATCATCACCTACACCGCCTCACTTCGTAAGTGAGGAAACTGAAGCCCACAGAA